TCCACTCCTAAAACCACTGAGAATGATACTGCACCTAACTGCAACCGTGTGGCTAATTTATTTAGGTAGAATGCAATTACCCAGGTTTAACTAGAGATCATGCTTTAATAATGAGCTTGCAGTTTAACGGGAAACTATATTCAATCTCCTGGTAATTTTTCTCTAATGAAAGTTTTCAAGATATTGTCACCCTTTGCTGCAGAAAACATTTCTTCCTCACTAAAGTTCTCAACAGTTGATGCTTTCACACTGATTTCTGATTTTAAAAAGAAGAAAAATAATTCATTAAATTGTTTTACCTGCCTTGAGATTATAACAACATTCATATTAAAATAAAGAAAATCCATTTTTTCATATCAAATACTGCAAGATCCTTTCTGTAGCCTCAGTGCAATGCTACCATATAACTTCTTAAAGCAATACTCTTCAGCAAATGGTAAATTAAGAACTATAAATCATACAAAATCAATATGGCACAGGAAATGGTTTTTCCTTTTTTTTTTTAATATAGCAAGCAGAAGCATACCAACATCATACCAGGATGCACTGCACTAAGAGGCAAATAATCTTTTCATAGATATGGATTTAAGCAAATCCTGTACTTGCATATACTTAACTAGATATACAATACAGGGTCTTCATAAAGTCCTCGTGCACTTTTAAACATTAATAACTTAGGTTGTGCACAAGGACTTTATGAAGACCCTGTATTTTGATGTGCTGTAGCCAACCGTTCCATTGCACACCTTTTTTTCTGCAAACGCCCATGTATAACGATCTAAAAGTAAGTTTAAAATGTAAAGAAAGAACACACACGTTAAGGAAATTAGGTTGAAAATAGACACTGGATTTCTCCTGGGACAAAGCATTTTATCCTGGGATCCTACAGATGGACAAACCTATTGTCCCACAGTCTCACCTCCATCCTTGGCAAAGTCTTTGAAAAAATTATCAAGGCTCACATTTGTGAGAGCCCGGCAGGACAAATTATGCTGAGGGGAAACCAGCACGGGTTCGTGGCAGGCAGATCGTGCCTGACCAATCTAGTTTCTTTTTATGACCAGGTTACGAAACGCCTGGACACAGGAGGAGGGGTGGATGTCGTATACTTAGACTTCAGGAAGGCCTTCGATACGGTATCCCACCCCATACTGGTGAACAAGTTAAGAGGCTGTGACTTGGATGACTACACAGTCTGGTGGGTGGCGAATTGGCTGGAGGGCCGCACCCAGAGAGTCGTGGTGGATGGGTCGGTTTCGACCTGGAAGGGTGTGGGAAGTGGGGTCCCACAGGGTTCGGTCCTTGGACCGATACTCTTTAATGTCTTCATCAGTGACTTGGACGAGGGAGTGAAATGTACTCTGTCCAAGTTTGCAGATGACACAAAGCTATGGGGAGAAGTGGACATGCCGGAGGGCAGGGAACAGCTGCAAGCAGACCTGGACAGGTTGGACAAGTGGGCAGAAAACAACAGAATGCAGTTCAACAAGGAGAAATGCAAAGTGCTGCACCTAGGGAGGAAAAATGTCCAGCACACCTACAGCCTAGGGAATGACCTGCTGGGTGGCACGGAAGCAGAAAGGGATCTTGGAGTCCTAGTGGACTCCAAGATGAACATGAGTCGGCAGTGTGACGAAGCCATCAAAAAAGCCAATGGCACTTTATCGTGCATCAGCAGATGCATGACGAATAGGTCCAAGGAGGTGATACTTCCCCTCTATCGGGCGCTGGTCAGACCGCAGTTGGAGTACTGCGTGCAATTCTGGGCGCCGCACTTCAAGAGGGATGCGGATAACCTGGAGAGGGTCCAGAGAAGGGCCACTCGTATGGTTAAGGGCCTACAGACCAAGCCCTACGAGGAGAGACTAGAGAAACTGGACCTCTTCAGCCTCCGCAAGAGAAGGTTGAGAGGCGACCTTGTGGCTGCCTATAAGTTCATCACGGGGGCACAGAAGGGAATTGGTGAGTATTTATTCACCAAGGCGCCCCCGGGGGTTACAAGAAATAATGGCCACTCTTTCCTGCTTATGCAGGGGGTCGGACTCGATGATCTATTGAGGTCCCTTCCGACCCTAACATCTATGAATCTATTAAGTGCCCATGAAGTATCAGAATTAATTTTGCCCAGGGACAATAGCAGCTAATTTGAATTATTAATGTGCTGCATGTGCAGCTAGTTTGAGTTAGTCAAGCTGCATGTGTAAAGGACTGTCTCATGCCTGTTTTGATGCAAGTCACAAACTGGGATAATCAGCACCCTATCCCCTCCCCATAAACCCTACTTGTTTTAAGTTTTCGAGCCCTGTTAGACCTTAACATTTGTTTGGCTTACAGGGTAACTGGCTTAGTGCTGTTCGTCTTAGTGGAGCAGTCGCAGAATAAAGCAAAAAACCTGCTGACTATCCTTCACCTGCACGGCTGAGATTTGCCACTAGAGGCTTGGTGAGCAGAGGCAAGACTAGGCACAGGTCCTGCTTGCTGCTTCCGCCAGCAGGCTCATCACCATGTCAACTGCAGCAAGACCAGAGACCCAAGGAAGCGGACCCGGGCCCCGGGCCCCGCTTTCAGTGCGGAGGTCCTCTGTCACTTTCAGCAAGATCAGAGAGTTTCAGGGCTGCAGCCATGGAGCTCGCCTGCTCTGATTTCCAAGGGGCTGGATCCTTTTTTCTCTGGAACTCAGGTGGCCCTGTGCCTCGCCGGCTGGGCTACCAGCTTGCTAGGCACTGCCTGAGCTCAGAGGGGCCCAATTCATTATACCTCGGAGCACAGGCAGTACCCACTGTCTCATGTCCTGCTGGCTGGACTGGTGGACAGCCAAGCACTGCCTGAGCTTTAAGGGGCCCAATCCCTTTTTCTCCGGAGTTCAGGTGGCACCTGCTCCCCACACCGCTGCTGGCGAGAGCAAAGCCAGTCCAGGTGGCGGTGGGAGGCACCGCAGCTGCCGGGTACTCCTGGGCTGTGGCACTCGCTCTGCCCATGTTCCTAGGGGGTGAGGCACTGTGGCCGGCTCCGCTATGCTCCAGTGTGCCTGCTCACCCTAACCCTTGAGGGACCATTACATTTTGGGATACTAGAGGATTTCAACTTGGGCAGAATAGCTGTGGTAAGTGGCTACACAGTAATGAAACAGGAATACAATTAGGCAGATTGAAGATAATCCTGCCCTGGAGTGTCATAACTTTAATTCAAATAATGTGTCCTTTAAGCCACTTAAAAGGTATTAATGTGCAGCCAGCCCTGGAGTTAAGAGCTTCAGACGCTGCCTAAACCTACCATGTAACAAGGCCCTCAGTGTCAAGACTACTCACATAATAGGCTTAATATTCCTATTTAACTAGAAAAGCAGAGAGAGAGATTTTTTGTAAAGAACTATCATTTTAGGAAAAATCTTGGCTATCATGTTGTCATTAATTACTATTAAAGCAAAAATACATATTTTGGGAGTTTCCTTTATATGATGATAACATTGGTATGTCTGAATTAGTGAACAGCTGGAGCAGATACCAGTTTTACTGAATATTTACATTTAAAAAGACTTGGAGGCAACTGACATCAGGAAGTTAACTGCATGGGTATGTATACTGCATAAATTATCTACAGAACGTTGCCAGGATCGATAGTACCAACACTATGGGGTTTCTTTTTGTTTCAGGACTTAATGTAAGACTTCTGGGATTGTGTTCGGCCCAATCGCTGTCTCTCCTAGTTACCATTCATTTTTCATTTGCAATTGATAATTTTTACTTTGAATGGCATGCCTGTCTGCAGGGTAGAGTAAATCCAAACCTTTTAAAGTCTAGCCAAAAATTTGCCATGAATTAGGAGACTGAAGCATATTTACAATACAAAATGAAATATCTCTAGGTATGAGATATTTCATACCATCTTTTGGTGGTGGTGGTATGAATAAATGCCGATTATTCTTTTTTGACGGGATAATTTTCAAAGCAGTCATTTTGCAAAGACTCAGGAAGAAAACAATTTTGTTTCATTTCCATAACAGAATCCAGACCTCCAGATTCAACCTTGCGAGTTACAATTATGCACACGAACTACCACTGTGAAGTTTCAAACACAATGCCTTTTATTGTCTATTCTCATTCTCTGTTTTTTCTTTTCTCCCAGATTAGTTTCTGTTATGCCACCCTATACAGAATCTTTATAGCAAAAGGCTGCCTTGAAAGAACCTCAGGCTTTAGAATTTCAACTCACCATGTTAGTGTGATATTTTATTTTATTTATATATATAGCCTTATGGGAGCAGAAAGAATTCCTGTTACTCCTTTGGAATTTGACTGTTGAAAACGAATGTTTTTGCTCATACATGATGGATGGATAGATATTTTAGCCACCTCTCTCATAATTCAGGCAGCATTGTCTTAAAGCCCATACTGAAGGATGCCAAATGCTGAAGACTGCAATTCCCCCATGCAGTGTTCCTTACAAGACATTTCATTCTAGAACAGTCTTGTATCACAGGAACAAACACAGCAAACTACTATTTGCAAGAGCTTGCTAAATATTGTCTCTTAAATCACCATTCTTTACTAAAATATTTTCACCTACACTATTATGCAGGCATCTGAGGAACAAAGAAAAAACACAGAAGAAACAGCCTACACAATCTGAGCAACATAAAAAGTACATCTTTCTTTCTTGCTGTGCATCTGCAGCTCATTTTTTAATTTGATAGTTACTTTAAAATGTAGTAATCTAAGCTATTAACCTCCATTGTCTAGGAAATTAGGTTTCTCTTCCTAAAAGACAGAGACAAAGCATGCACAAGATTTCAGCGCTCAAAATAGTTAAAACTTTCACACTGCTTTTGAAGCAACACATGTGAGGCTGTCAGTGCAACCCCGCACCCGAGACGGACCCCGTTTATGGATAACATCTGGTTGCAATTATCCGCTCGATGGAAAGCAAAGCAACAATTTTTGTTACCAATGGGACTGAGAGAACAAACAGGACATTATTTACACATTAAAGAAAATACTCACTCCAACACCACCACAAGGGAGCCTGACAAACATTGATGTTAGAGAACCTGTGGAAAAAAAAGAGAGCAGTAAGTCATCAAAAAGGCAAAGTTCATAGGTTTTTTTGGTCCAATTTTATGGTAATGCTGGATCCTTTACTAACACAGTAATGTTCTTTGGTTTTATTATTGCATGCGTTTAAACTGTCAGAGAAAAACACACAACTAAATAATATTTCAACAGATGCATACATATAATATAAAGTTGTACTTGTTCAAAAGGCTTCATATAAACCATACACGCCTTCATAAATGTTTATGTGCTGTTCCTACATTTCAGCCAATCATACTGATTATATATAACAGCTCCACTGAAGTCTTGTTTATAGAAAAAGAAATAGTAGCAACGAAAGCAATAACTACTAACCATCTCTGCTGGGAGTAAAGCTGTGACTATGTCCTACTGCTTTCAACTGAAGGATTTTAAAAGCATAAAGACTCTATTTATCAGTCAAATTCACATGTTTACTGGAGAATTTTGGAGTGCATTAGGCACTTTCATACAGCACGATTAAGAGACAAATGCCACAAAAAACAATCAGTTAGCAAACAATATGGGCTGCTTAAGACTAGAAGAGCAAAACCAACATCAGAGATTCCAGAAAAATGGAAAAAATGTGTGGAGGACATTGTGAACTGAAGACAATGTTATTGTTATTCTCTCTGCACATACATCAGTAATATTATTTGTTCCTCAAAATACTAGTGTTACAAAATGTATTCTCAAGTGTTCCGAATAAAGAATAAAATACTTAACTGTATCGCATTTCATAACTAATATATTTACAATGTGTCTAGCTATGTCTATAGTGAGATAGCCATGTGACGAAAAGAAATGTGTGTGCATGCATCCACACACAGATATATACATACATATGTACTCAATAAAAGCCTTGGAGCCATTTACCTGATATTAATTAGTGGTAGTTAAATTTAGGGAGCTCTCAGTCAACAGGAAGAAGGTTTGACCAAAATGTTCCTACAGTCAAGATCTTGTTATTCTAATATGCCTACACTGAGATAACAAAATTGAAGACACTTCCTTCAAATGCTAAAAATCATGAAATGATGATGGAAAGCACACTAGTGACTGAAGATCACAATGAGATAAAATGAGCCTCATACATAAGCTACATAACATTTTCCTTCAACTGAAAGTGAGGCTAATACACTGTACAATTAATTTGATTTTGTAAGCCAAATGAATTGTGCAATTAGATCCTTAGAAAGAGCATGTGAATCATCCTCCATAAGACCTCCTGTTACATCTTCCATTTATAACATTTACCTATTATTAATATTAATCTTTCCAAAAAGACACAATTTAAAACAACTTCATTTGTCCAAGACTAAAGACTGTTTAAACACATGCCCAAACTGTGAGACAACAGACAAGAATATACACTTTATTACAAAGCTTTCACTTGTCACAGAAACATGTAAAAGAGTAGATATGCCTAACTTTCCTTGAAAGTCATCAGCTTTATCATCTGTTAAAACGTATCTAACTTAAAGCTCAACCTGGTCAAGTTTACCAGGTTAGATAACTTAAATGTCAGTGGTGAATTTTAACAGAAGCAGTTAGAATCTTAACAGAGAATGTGCAAAGCATTTTTAGAAATCTGGGATATTCAAAGATGATCAAAGTATAAAGTAGTTTAAAATTAAAAATGTAGTTAGCCTGGTAATTCTGCCTATAACCTCCTTACAAAGCTGAGAAATCTGAGTCACTAGCTTCCTAGCCTCTTGTAAATAACTGTCAGTTTAACGACACCACCGCCATCACGAACATAAATGTAAAAAGTAATTCCATAAACAACTGTTGTTTCCATTTTCTCATACCTTTCTGAGCTGATCCTTGGGGCCTGAAATTTATCCTGTTTATTTCTAGATCTTAGGCCCAGTTTGGATACAAAGGTTAAACAAAATAATCTGATCGATTTTTATTTTTGTGGATGATAATACACAGAGCTGTATTTGAAAAAAATATTATTTGCATTTAAGCTACTCAAACATCAGTTTGCATTTAAGTTTTCAACTTGGCATAGATTTAATCCTTTGACACATTTAAAGAAAATGGTTTATACATTTGAAAAAATCACAAGTCTTTGGAGATGATAGAATGGGCTTAATTTCAGACATTTAGCTGCTTTCAGACATATTCATGTCTTAACTTTTCCCATTTGAAAATCAGTTTTTTCTCATACACATGAAAATACATTGTCCTTCCTAAGGCCCATATGAAGCATTACCATCCTCCATGGCCCAGTTTCCAGAGGGTGACCATATACTTGATTCTTGTGGAAACATCCTAACCACAAAGCCATGTTCCAGCTAAATTTCCTAATCCGTTTTACCAGGCTAGCCTCCCTTTCTGGATCTGGCTGTCAGGTTATGAATTGAATACTGCTGCCTTTGCAGAATGACTTACAGCCATGTGTGCTGCGATGCTATGCCCTTTTCCTTTGTTCCTCTGGTTATTGTTATACAGCAGAGTAAATGCTGGTTGCTGTGCAATACAGAATCACGACAACAGCATGAGATGAGGAGCAGGAAAGGGCAGTTAGCGATGGGAGGTAGGGGTGCACCGATAAAGATTTCCTCGGCTGATACCAATAGCCAATGATTAACCAGCCACATTGGCCAACACCGATCCAATAACCGATTTATACGAATGTAGACGGACAGCTTGGAGAGCAGCGTCCTTCCTGTAAGTCTGGGAGGGGCATGGGGGGCAGATCAAGGCCCCCATGGTGAGAGACAGTGGGGCAGGGGCGGGGCAGGCGCTGTCCAGCCAGGGCGGAGAATGCAACCCCAGGGCTGGGAGCCAGACGGAGCCATGGGCAGCTCGTCCAGGGGGTGCAAGGGGGGTAGAGGGGGGGCTCCCCACCAGTGTGTGCACCCCCAGAGGCGGCATGGGGGCCATGTGCCCCAACTGGATTTGTGCGTGGGGCGAGGGTGGGCTGCTCACTGCAGGCTTAGGGCCAGGGGCTGTGCCAGCCTCTTCCTGGCAGGGGGGCTGGTCTGGGGCTGGGCTCCGAGCAGGCGGAGGCAGGACAGATGGCAGAGGTGCTGGGAGGGGTGGCTACAGGAAATTTGGGGTGGCCATAGGCACCCCTCCCAGAGCTGCCACTGCCTACCCCGACCCTGCCCACTCAGAGCCCAGCCCCGGCCCAGCCCCCTTGCTGGGAAGAGGCTGGCGCAGCCCCTAGCCCTGAGTCTACACCAGGCACCCTGACCTTACCCTGCACACAAATCCAGGGGGGCACATGCCCCCTATGCATCCCCCGTGGGTGCACACAGCGGTGAGGAGCCACCCCCCTCAACCTGGACACATCACCTGTGGCTCCATCTCACTCCCAGCCCCGGGGTCGCATTCTCTGTCCTGGCTGGGCAGTGCCTGCCCCTGCCTCATTCCCTCCCTCACTGTGGGGGACTTGATCTGCGCCCCCCACACCCCTTCCCTCCTCCATTTATCAGTGACATCTATCAGTGATATTATCAGCTACACTCACCAAAAAAAGCCAATTGCTGATGAAGTTAATTTTTCTTTTATTGGTGCTGATCTGACATGTGACCGATATATCGGTTCACCTCTAATGGGAGGTGGCGACAGAACCAGGATTAAGGACAGTAACATCATGGGAGCGAGCCTCATTATCAGCAGCCAGAGTTAAATGTGCCATGTGCTAGGAAGGAGTGCTCTTGAAAGTGCAGCTGAGATTCAGACCTACTGGTAAAACCTTCCCTAGGGAGATCCCAGGGGTTTTCTCTTACTTTCTGCAGGAGCACTGAAAATGGCTCTCCAGCTGAGCACAGGTAGGGGAGTAGAAGGATGCAGCACTAGTCTGACTCCAACACATTGCTCAGAAATATCTTCTTGTAATCAATTTATTTTTCTGCCAGAAATATCACTCCCTGTTCACTCTTCCTTCCTATCTGTTTTCTCAGCCAGAGACTACAGATTTATGTGAAACACAACATAATGTCTAATAACACTTAGAAAAGTTTTATTATTCTTGCCATAAGGCTCTAGATCACTGAGCCATCTCTTTGTTAACAGAAACCCCACACTGCTTTGCTCACTAATTCAGGGTTCTTTGTTATATGGGAGTTGGATTATGCTAAACTTTGAGATTTCTGTAACAGGGAGCAAAGATGAAAATTAGCCCTTTCTTGCCTTGCCAAAGGAAAACAATATCTTGTTAGTGAATCTGGCAACAAATTTTGGTTATTTACTTTGTAATATGAAACACAGTATTTCAAGGTGTGTAATATGAATCACACTATTTACAAAGTATAACACAGTGGTTCTCAAACTTTTTTGTACACATTGATGGCCAGTCCTGACCTGCTGCCCCTAGCCCCCAAGCCCCAGCCCCCCAGTGTGTGCGGCAGAGAGACCCCAAGCAGCCCTTTGCAGGCAGGAACTCTGCCAGCCTGTAAGAGAAAAGCCATGATTTCCCATGTTTTTCTTCTTTAAAAGAGAATCCATTTTTTAAAGTTTATCCATGACCCTTTCATATCTTCTTGCAACCCACTTTTGGGTTGTGACTCATGGGTTGAGAAATGCTGGTATAACATACATTGCTGGGGGAAAGCATCCTCATTCATCCCCTGCATAATCATGTTTTCAGTCTCTCTCTTCCACTAATTTGTCCTGTTATTCTACTCTTCTTTGCCCCATCATTTTTTTCTATTTTCTTCTGACTAAACTTTAACACTGTTACCTTTCCCCTTCCTCTAATTTTCCTAAGTCATCTCTACTTGCAAATACTCCCACGGGTTTCCTCCCATTTCATCTACTTTCCACCTGTTTCTACCTAGACTAGTCTTACTGTTGTCCACCCCAAGTCCCCTCAGGCATATAAACCTGTGGAATTTTCATTCTTTTCCAGTAGCTACGTATCTTTTCAATTAAATGTTGTAAGCATGGATGACCAATTACTTTTAAACTGTGAATTCTGTGAAAGATGTCTTCCATGGTTTAAAACTGCTATTCTAATTAGTAGACTCCATAGTCTCCCTGGCATTTTTTCTTAGAGTGAATTAAAAATAAATAAATTAAAAAAAATAGGTAGGTTGGTAAACTGTCATTGAAAGCAGAAAACATGCAAGAGAGATTCAATGAAACGAAGGTGCAAACATGTGAAAATACTAAAAGGATATACTGTCCACACATCACTTAATTTATCTGTGGAATTCATTGCTACAGGATGGCAGTGAGACTAAGAATGCAGCAAGATACAAAGAGGAAATATTATAATATTTAAAGAGGATTTGGCATTTATATGAATACCAAAAATATAAAAACTCACATAAAAAAGTGTTGGATCAGATATAAAACTTAACGCTTCTGAATGTAATCCAATTGCAAGCTATTAGGGAGTAAAGTGAGACCCTCACGGAGGACAGAATCTCCCCTGCTACCCTCCCCACCCCTCCTCGCCTAGTGGGGACTTTACTGTACTTCTCTGCAGCAGCTGGTACTTGCTACTGTCAGAGATTTCATGGATTATGTGTCTAACACAGACCAGTATTTAACAAAGGCTTGAAAACTGCTTGATTTATACCAGAAAAAACAAACCCCCAAAGCATATGGGGGAGGCAGTGGTCCTTAGCTTCAACTGCTACTTCATTACTCCAGTGGTTTAACACTGAAAACAGGCTTCTGTGTCCCACTAAGCAGGTGTTGCGATGGTGCCCTTGGTTTCATTTAAAGGCAGGACAAGGTCAAAATCCTACTGGAAGAAATGGACAGCACAGATATAGATCCAAAGGTGGAGAAGATATCTGTATTCTTTGTTTGCACTGGCAAACCCAAAGCAAGAGTTTTATACACCAGGGTCCTGATGTTATAAAGTCTTTAAAATGTGCATGTTAATTGTGATGTCACTCACTCAGCTAAAAGAACCAGAAATCTGGGTTTTAAAGAGGTGATAACTATCAGAAATGTGGCTATAAATGCAGTGCTAATTACATTTCTAAACAACCTTTTTATCGTTTTTCTCTATGGGGATCTCAGATACATGCTGAATTCTTAGCAAAGCCTTTCTAGCTTTTTTGCCATAACTACTACACCACTGCAGACCATCAGGGTAATCCCCTTTCACATCATTCAGATTTAAGTCAATCAACGCAATCTCAATTTCTTGACTGCAGAGCTTTCTCTCACTCCAAAACTGCTACTCAAACTTGTCACCTACAGCTGTTAACAAGCACCTGAAGATTATTAAAGGAAGTAAAGGGAAGGTGTCTGTATAAGTAGCCGAAAACAGTCATGTAAATGTGCATTGGTTTCTTCTGGCACAGTGTGCTTTCTGAACCACCACAGACCTTTCTATGCCAGGACTCACACTGATAGTTCTTTACTCAAGGAGGCTTCAGTCTTCAACTAAGGGAGAAAAATTACTTCAAGAGTCCCACTTTGAAATCACAATGGTTGCCTGGCCACTAGCACTTCAAAAACAGCATGGGAAAACCACTCAGCAGCTACTCTGCTGTGCTATTCACTGGCAGTCTCCTTTTCTCAGATCTGACATACGTTGGTGAAAATGAGCATTTTCACAGGGTGAGGTAGTTTTCATATGACAGGTATCCAGCACAATACAAATTAACTCACCCACCTGATGGATCCATGCTGGATTACTGTCAGAAAGAGATGAGCTAAGATATTGGTGGCCACTTTTTTGGCAGGCATCTGCAAGTGCCAAACCAATCCATTACTCTCACCTGATCTCCTGCTCAGCTTTCTGCTCCCCACCCTGTGCTCTGACCAGGCTGCTGCTCTGCTTTCTGCCTTGTGTTTCCTGCCTGATCTGATGCTTCAGATTCTGCTTCCTGCCCTATCTGCCACTGTGATGCCAATCTCCTCCCCAATCTGCCATAATCCACACACAGAGGGTACCGTCCATACCACAGACTGACCACTCTTAAGCTAGGGACTTAGCAACTGAAAGCAGGATGCAGAGCTTTGTTTTAAACTTCCAGTTGAAATCTGGCTGAAACAGAGTGCCAAATATTTTTATTCAGTAATAATCTCTGTTAAATTACTGATTGGAATTCCATTCTTAGGAAATCTCCCAAATCCTACATGGCAGCTGGAGCTTTTCTGATGAGCAGTGAATCTAAGAATAAAAATGGAAATGGAAGCTGAATTGTCTTCTCCTTTCTACAGGCAGTCCTTTTAAATCTTTAGAGCTTTTAACTAAAGGCAGGAAATAATAAGAAGGAAAAGATAACAAATATTTTACTACCTGTCCCATTAAAGTAAAGTAAAGCTGACATCATTTGTGACATTCAGAATGACACACTCCTGTGACCGTCAGTGCCAGTGTTGTGACTACCTATATATCTTTATGAACATAAGATCTAAGAGGTAAGGAGAAGTGGCCCTTCCCCCGGCTGTACCTAGAAGTTTCTTGCTGTCCAGTTTCTGCCTGTTCAGAGGGTTTGTTCCGTACAGCAGTGTATGGGCCTCTGAGTGAACTGTCTGTAGCTCTTCTAGAGTTGCTTTTCTTCCACGAATGCACTGCAGGGGGAAAGGAAAGGAAAGAAATGATGAAATTACACTTACTACTATTAACTAGCTCAGTCTTATTTTCTCTTCAGTAAAAAGGAAATGCCGTTGAAGTCATATGGCAATAAAGATTTACTTTATTTAAATTATAGGACACACATTTTTTATGACCATATCATTAAAAATGTTTTCAAAATGCCTAATTTTGTTTACTCACAGTAAAATACAGTTTTAGTTATGAGAACAATTTTGGCTTAATGCCACTACTCAAAATATTAAACTTGCATGCAAAGCAGTCTTTTGGATGTTATATATGTTATATATATTCCAAAATATTTGATAAGCTACAGAGGGACTAATATCTTATTGATATACCAGGATGTAGGTCTATAATCCATCAGCATAAACAAGAGTCAAACATATAAATTCCACTTTGAAGAAAAAACACCCCCCTAAATCTGAACAAAGAAACATCCCACAACTAGTGACAGCTGAACCACAAAGACTCACAAAGTTGACTTCAGAAGAACTGCTAAAGGTTAATCTAAATCTTTGGGCTCTAAAAACTGGTTTGGAGGTCATGCCAGATCAGCCTTCTATTACAGTGTGATTTAAGCAGAGTTGATAAAATCAGAACTTTTTTCCTTTGTTCTTCCACTGTCAGCTGAAACCAGCTTGAAACCCTGGCTTCACTGAGGTCAACGGCAAAACTCCTATTGATTTCAACAGGACCAAGATTTCACTCAAGAGGTTTACAAATCTGACCGTTTTTTCCAAACCTCAGAAAAGTTCATATGCTGGGTAAAAATGAACATTACATTTTAATTTTCACTTAATTTCTGCTGCACAGCAGAATGCCTGTGCAACAATGAAGAACGACTTTGAGGTATGAACAGACTTCACTCGTGGCAGCTTAACCTAAGAAAGGGCTATTGCTTATTAATGCTGCCCTATTACTTCAAATTTTAGCAGTACAGATTCTAAAGAGAACATGTCCAAATATACAATTTAAAAAATATGAGAGAGAGAGAGAGAGAGAATCCATACCAATGACAAACATGTTAAAGTTTAGGACAAATTGCACTAAAAAGGCGTGGCAGCCGACAAAACTGCCACAAAATCATAAAATTTGTATTACAGTGGCCATTGGAAACTGCAGAAAGTGGATGGATGTGGTTCACTACTTATACAAAAGACAGCAGTACTTTTGATAGCACAGTGACCACACTAACACAGTACGCTCCTCTCTGGCTCTGAGATCAACTTTTGGTGCAACTCTAGTTTATGGTGTTCCAGAGAGGAATGCACTCTCAGCAGAGTCATGATGATGCCTACTGCACTATATACAGACAGCCTCTTCTTTCAGAGAGTGCCTTAGGGGTTTTGGTCTCAATCCTCTGCTGTAATCCTTTGTCGCATATTTACAATGTAGCTGCACTGGAGTCTCTAACTCAGTAAAAAGAGGTTTGGCAACCACTTATGGCTCAGCTCCCAGCTGTGGGCAGCAAATCTCCACCCCCTCCCCAAAGATGCTTCACTACACTTTTCCCTCCCTGTCTTGCACGTGATAAATCTGCTTTAGTTCCTTCTTTAACCTTTCCCT